GTCTAGTCATAATTTTCTGGATATGAACAAAGTGGTGGTTAATCTCTCTGATAGAAATTTATCAGATTATGAGCTATCCCTCCTTAAAAAGGGACTTAATTTCCATTTAAACAAAACGCGTTTATCAGCCTTCGAAGTAGTTCCAGCAATTGAACCGTCGTTAAAGTCAGTGAAAGCCGAAGAGGCGAACGTCATAAGACACAAAATTACGGCGGTACTACTGAACCAGAAGCCAAATGCGCCGAATATAAATAAAAACGAGCAACTGGCATTAAAAAACCTACAACAAGATAAATCAATTATAATTACAAGAGCAGATAAAGGCAATATCACGGTTGTCATGAACACTGCAGATTACGAAAAGAAGGCCATTGATCATCTTAATGACGGACCTTGTGAAAAATTCAACGTGAATAAATCAAGGGCGACATTAAATAAGCTGAAGGCTGAAACAAGCAAAATGTTACAATCAATAAAAGAGAAGCTCGGTGTATCACTTTGGTTTACTCTGGCTCCAAAAAGTTGCAGCCCCTGTAGATTTTATGGGTTACCAAAAATACACAAATCAGAAGTTCCATTACGTCCAGTAGTGGATTTTACTAATTCTCCAACATACAAACTCTCTAAATACATTTATCGAATACTCAGCCCATATGAAATGAAAGTGGAGCATGGAGTGAAGAATTCGTATGAATTTAAGAGAAAAATAAACTTGACTCATATTGAAGAAGATGAAGTAATGGCAAGTTTCGATGTTTATTCATTATTCACGAATGTTCCCGTTAATGATTCTCTAAGTATTATTTATAATTTACTTTGTTCTGACGACGAACTCAGTGGTCGTTGTCCTTTAAATCCAGACGAAATTATGAAGGCATTAGAATTGTGTCTTCGATCCACGTTATTTACATTTAGAGGGGTTCTTTACCGTCAAACAGGAGGCATTGCTATGGGATCACCAGTATCTCCGCTAGTCGCCAATCTGTTTATGCACTCATTAGAAACAAATGCAATTATGAGATGCCCTAGTCCCCTAAAGATGTGGTTAAGATACGTAGATGATACCTTCGTCATAATCAAACGTAGTTTGTTAAATGAACTTTTTCACTTAATAAACAATATGTCAGAAACTATCAAGTTTTCCAAAGAGGTTGAATCCGATGAGAATGAGTTGGCATTCCTGGACTGTTTAGTAAAAAGAAAATTAGATGGCAAATTTAAAATAAACATTTTCAGAAAGCCGACAAATTCGGATAGATACCTAGACTACTATTCAGCTCACCCATTTACCACCAAAGTAACTGTGGCCAAGAATCTGATCAACAGAGCCAAACGTCTAGTTACTGAGGAGGAAGATATTAGCAAGGAACTAAAATTGGTTCAATCCACTCTTGAATCAAATAATTATCCTAAAGACTTCATAAAAAGATATTTAAAATGTGAAGATAAGGATGAATCGAAACCTGATGCTAAGAATTGGGTTAGTACAGCGGTGATTCCTTACCGCAAAGAAACATCCGATGAAATAAAGCGAATCCTTAACGATCATAACATAAGAGTGTATTTTCGTGCAACTAACACCTTACGCTCATTACTGGTGAAGGTTAAGGATAAAATAGAACAAGAAAACCAGCAGAATTGCGTATACCAGATCAATTGTGGGGATTGTAACGCCGTATATGTAGGAGAAACTTCCAGACAGGTAAATGTAAGAGTGAAAGAGCATAAACAATGTCTAAAGGTGGTTCCAAAGACCTCTGCAGACTTGAAGAAGCTAGAAAACAACTCAGCGATTGCACTGCATTCGATAGAAACGGGACACAAAATCGACTTTGATAAGACTAAGGTTTTACAGAAAGGTTTTGGTTCATATAAAGAAAGACTGACTGCAGAAGCCCTACATATATGGGTGAATCCCAACAGTTTGAACAGACGTGAAGGTGTGATGTTAGCTGATGCATGGCAAATCCTGACTAATAAATTAAAATTGGATATGTATCAACAACTAGTCACACTTGGTCAAATTCCCGATTATCTACGTCTTCTTATGGAGAGAATAACAAATGTTTTATGACTGTTCACCCACACACACACATACACACGCCATTGTATACTGCATATACACATATATTTTAACAAAAGTAGACTAATTTTGAAAGTCTGAGGTCAAATTTTGATCACAGTTCATACAATTTTGTTTATTATACATTTTGATGCCTGTTTCATGGCTCATGATTGGACAAAGTTTCAGAAACAAGAGATGTTCCTTTTATATATAAACCTCTGTTATGTTAATTTCGATTAATTTCCCTGAAGAAGTTCGGACCAGATTGCCGAACGAAACGTTGGAATTAATCATTTCAATTTCGCTGAGATTTTACAAATATAATTTTATAAATGTCTACTGAAGAGTAGTTAAATACGAATTTTGAAGGGTCATCAGGAAACTGTTTGTGTGCTTTGATAGATCTGAGGCTTTTTGTGAGTTGGGATATAGTAGATTGTAACCGTTTTTCAGTGACTGTATTGGCGTATTCCGTAAACCTCTGAGTTTCACTAGGTAGCAAATCGTGGATGGCTGGAGACCTTTGTGAAATGTTGCGTTGCAGTTCTGGAATACATGCTTTAATAGAGTCGGTAAGATTCAATACATGTCGTCGGAGAGATTTTGTGTTGGGATATATGTGACTTCTTCTCAGTGCTTTCCAAAACCACTTTGGATATTCACGATTGGTGATACAATCATTGAAAAAAGTTATTTTCGCTATCGCAAGTTTGACAGAGAACCGTAGAAACCCATTGAGTTCCTTGACTGTCGAAGGCTCATGGCAAATCTCGAGAACGGCCCACTCAAATCAACTATTGACAATTTCCAATTGTATTTTACATATGTGGACGACATCTTTATTATCTGTGATGATGGTCTCGATCTCAATCAGTTACTACAAATATTCAACAAATGCCATTCAGCTGCAAAGTTCACTCTTGAAATTGAAAATGAATCTAAAATTACTTTTCTTGATGTTGAACTTACAAGGAGAGCTGACGGAACTTTAAGAAGGTCCATCCATAGGAAACCCACATGGAACGGCCAACTGACAAGCTTCTACAGCTGGGTACCAATCAGTCGAAAAAGAAACCTAATTAGATCTCTTGCCACTCGCGTCCGACGCATCTGCAGCTCTGATACCCTGGAAGAAGAACTACACTTCCTGAAAGAAACCTTCATACAAAACGGTTATCCATCAAGATTCGTAGACAAAAACATCAAACAGAAAATCCAAAAGCAAGAGACACCATCCGTGCCAAAAAAGATACTTTATATGAACCTCGACTTCAAAGGTGACCTACTCAGTGATGTCCTTAGGAGGAGAATTTCCACTTCTTTAAGAAGAACTTTCTTTGCGGCAACATTGAGAGTAGTGTTCTCCAGTCGCCCACTGATCTGCAGAAGCCCAAAGGACAAGATCCCGCACCTGACCACTTCTATGTGTATATATCAGTTCACCTGTTGCTGTGGAGCCAGGTACATCGGTCGTTCAACGCGCATCCTGTCAAAAAGGGTCAAAGAACACTATCCAGCGTGGCTGCAGAAAGGAAGTAGTGGCCGTATAAGGAGTGCAATAATCGAACATCTCGTCAACACTGGTCATTCCATCTCAACAAACGCCTCCTTCAAAGTAATCTACAAAGTGAAGAACAACCTTCCAAAGACAATACGTTTCCGTCTTCTTTGCATCGCAGAAGCCCTAGCCATTCAGTTGGAAGAACCAGAACTATGCATACAAAAGAAAATTATTCAACCACTTCTACTCTCATGGTAACAACTCCGTTGATTTGACTTAACTTTTGTTTGTATGCTTATTTTTCTAACTACTTAAAACCCTTGCGTAATTCCGTATGTTATTTTGTTTCCATGTACACCCTGAGCACAACTCTTTCATCAAACTATTCACGTTATTACGTAACTCTTCTTTAACAATCATTTGTGACAACTCATCACTTTTGTTACTACCCTCTTATATCAACATCCAATTCATCTGAACTTACTAATTGTATTTTCGTTTGACAAATTTAATGTACACACACATACAAAACAACCATATATATTTGTGATTGTACAGCTATGAAAATGAATTCGCCGAAAAGAGACTCTTCGCTGAACTACTGGTCTTTTGTTTATCAATAGTTTGCTCTATTACATTTGAGACCTATTTTTGTTGATGGATTCTAGTTCACTGGTATTTCTCAGCAGGTTGTATATTATTGTCGATTGAAGTACCTTTTAATGTGATTACTTCATCATATCCTCATGTGATTGGTAATTTGATTTACTTCACTATCCTTCACTGGCTTCATCTGTGCTGTTTTCTTCACGGATGGGAATCTGTTTGCTGATGCGGTGTTGAGAAGTCTATTTTACCTTCATCCTGTTCTACATCAGTTACCAGTCCGTCGTGAGAACGTCGGTTTTTTTATCCTAGTTCTGCGCTTCACTCCTTTGTTAAGTGCTTTGTAAGTCATACCTATCTCTTTTCAACATTTATATTCTTCTTCATCATTCTTCTGTCATCAGTCACCTTCCTGGTGTCCGTCTTTAGGTATACTTTGTCATGCTTAAGATGCCTATGCAGATTTTCTTGCACACTGCTTTTACGGAATTCTAGTGACTAAAAAGCATTATGTTAACGTTTAGAATTCGGCTTTGTGGCTATTTGTTTGGTTCCAAGCAAGATTTCACTTCTGTCGCTACATTGCGAACCAATTGTGAAGCTAAAATTCACAAATTTTCCTGTAATTACATGTGCTTCTTGCCATTGCATTGTACTTTTCAATAGTTCCCTCATTTATTTTCATCCGTGATGAAGTTTACCTTGAAATCAATCAAATTTTCACAAACCCAGAATTTAAAATTAAAACTGATAAATCACATTGATTTTATGAGGAGAAAATAATTTGTTCCAGAGTATTTAAATTTCACATCGATTTCATATTTTCAGGTGGTTTAAATACTTTTACGTCACCGGTGTTTGTTTTACTTGTTGTGCCCTACTAATTGAACTTTTTGTGATATGTAAGTCAACTAGATTTGTTTTTTTCTACAACTTTAATTTTTCGTATATTTTTTTCTATAGTTGGTTTGTTAGGATTAGTTTTGTTTTTACGAGTTGATAACAGATTGATATCAGTTAGAGAACCACTGAAAACCAGGGAGTACTGGACAGCTGTTCCGTCCTAGTGTGGGAATCATTGACAGTACGCACCCACTGGGTGAGGATGGATGTCCCACCGACGACATTGGTTGGGGTCGCGCTAAATCATGAGTTGGTAGAAGTTGGAATTCATCCATTGGTCATTAAGGAATCGGGTCCCATTGGCTGAATGGTATACGAGCTTGCCTGGTAACCGGGAGGTCCTGGGTTCGAACCCTGGCGGTGGGGGCGTACTGCTGATGATTCCCAAACAAGGCTGATGAAACAGTTGTCTGGCTGTACTCCTTGTGGCTGGCCTTCAATGGTTCTCTAACTGATATCAATCGGAGATCAACTCATATTTTTATTTAATTGTTTTGTTTCTTCGTAGTTTAGTTTTAATGTGTTGTTATATAGTGAATTTATTTATCTTGGAAGTATATGACTAGTCTGCGTAGGCAGTCGACTGACTCATTTTCAATATTAGGTCGTTCACTATATATACATATATATATTAATAACAAAACAATGCATTATGACGGAAAGGCCGTTTTCGGCGAATTCATTTTCTTTTGCTGTACAATCGTATTCATATACAATGTATTTCACAAAAGGAAGATAATAACACGAGGGATGATTTGTCATAATCATAGTTATTAGTATTAATCAAGTCGATAGAAAACATTATGGTCATCAGTAGGATGATGGAAGTGAATTAGTTCTCTTGTGTATAGAGAACTTTGGTTTCTCTACATGAGAATAGCCAGAATTTCTGAAATTTGAGAGCAGATTCTTGATCTTAAGTTTGGGCAGCTTTCACTCCTCATTATATTCGGAGCGTGGTAATATCAAACCGCAAGAGAAGACGAAAATGCAATGTTTCTCGAAAAATTTACTTTGTTTTGTGATTAGCCGAATAGTTCGGTTTTTAAGCACTTGCCATCATCAAGTAAACAGTAACTGCTCTTACTTCATTTTGATTTTCAGGCAGGTACGTTTTGAAGTGATATACTGTTATGTGTTTAGTGTTTTGAAAGAAAAATGAAAACAGCCATAATTTCTTCTCACCACTTACCTAGTGTTGTTTTTCTTACTGATTTCAGCATCTCATAAAACTATTGTCTGTGTGTTAACCCTATACTTAATACATGTTTCACGTCGATTGTATGAATGTACACATGTTTCTATATTCAGTAATTCTCTAATGAGTTTTATGCAATTCTTGGTTGGAATCGCCTTCTACATCGCTGCTCCTATAGGAATTTCACTTTCACGAAGTCATGCAGGTAATCCAAACACAGGGTTTGTTTTCGATTGGCGAAAAAAAATATAAGTATCTTTTCGTAAATTTAATGATTTTATTCCTCGGCAATTCACATTTTTAAAATGAGATTTGATTAGTAAACCGGCTGATGTTTAATACGTACAGACATATAATGAATGGGATTGTGACAAGCTGCCTTCTGAAACTGTTAATGTGAATACTCAGTTATCTTTTCAGTGTTCTGTTGCTTGTCTTTCAACACACTATCCTATCATTATATTCTGTAAGTCTTAAGCTCCATAAATCTACAGTCTGTATAATCTGATACTTAAACAATCCACCTAAGCAGTTATCCAGGATTCGGGTGGTTTCAACTGATCTAGTTCTCTGAGCTGAGTTGAATTGGACACACGACTGATTAGTGCAGTTGCAAACGAATGAAACGGTGTTCAGATCCCACTTTGATCTAGCTAGCAAGCAGTACTAGTTGGTATGACTGGCATCCAACTACTCATTTCAGTCCATCAGTAGTAGCATATATCGTCATGCATTTATAATTGTTCTCTTAATTGCCATTTATGGTATCAAGCAGATCTGTGATCTGAATAATGTCGGTTTCCGGAGGGAAATTGTGATGAAATTTCATCTTAAACTGTGTACATTGTGAATTTGATTTACCATACAAACTTTATTAATGATTATTTCAATTAGACGCCTAAGTGTGTTGCTTAACATTTGATAAAAATTTCGCTTTGCTGTATTTCATATAAATTATAACGTACAATGTCAACGTGTCAAGAAGTAAAACTTTTCATCCTAATCAACTACATTATTATTAATAAAGCAACTACTAATCGATAAACTGTTTGTTTGTTTGTATGCAATAAATATCAGCAGAATTATGTAGTTTACTGACTGATTCGAATAAATAGTTTTTTTTGCCTAGTCATTTTCTGTTGACCCTGTGACTTTATATCTTACCGATTCATTATTTATTACCTTTCAGTTGAACGATCAAATTTAGTCATTGTATTATTCAGTCTACACATACTGATACTTCAATTTTTACAAGATTTGGTCTTCCAGCAATTGGCTGCTTTGCGTACAAATAAAAATGAAAACACAGGTGGGATTTATTGTATTTTATTCGTAAATACTCATATAGAGTATCATTTTATTCACAAGTTGAATATTTTGTGAACGCGTTTAGCACTAAATGTCAGTAATCAGTCTTAACATTTATCCACTTTATTTTTTAAAATATATATATAAAACACAGCACACTTGTTTTATTGTAACTGGTTTCAAACATTGGAAGAACAGAAGGAAGGGACTACGTCAGATTCTTCGAAAATGTAACAATGAGTTTCCGGTTAACGGGGCTAGGTAGTTTAAGCTCTTCAATTACCAAACACCTGATAGACACTGGACACCGAGTAGATGCGCTGGCATCATTCAGAATAATTAACAGACAAAACATATAAGGAAGGGACATCTGAGGCCCTACGTAGGATTCTCAATAAAGCAGGAATTAGGGTGGCATTCAAACCCACAAACTCACTCAGACAAACTTTGTAGGTTGAAGGACCCGTTGCACCCAATTAAACAAAATAATATAATTTACAAAGTACCCTGCAATGACTGTAAAGTTAACTATATAGGTCAAACTAGTAGATCAGGGAAAGTCAGAGTATCAGAACATAAGAATTTAGCTAAGGGAAAACTGATTGACCCTGAAAAGATAAGTAATTTAGAAAAAAGCTCAGCTATTGCACTTCACGCATTAACAAACAACCACACAATAGGGTGGGATAGGGTTAAAATTCTAAAAAGTAATATAGGTAGGTGGAAAGAGAGGTTGATTACGGAATCCTTATTCATCGAGTCTACACCCAACACATGCAACAGAAGTGACTCAATGCAAATACCAGAAATATGGAAGATATTATTACCGCCAGTCAAATCAGAAGAGGATGATAAATAATCTTAAAATTCTATTTCAATTCAAACACATCAAAACATTCTAACAATCAACTTATTATGACTATAAAAACACTCGTCGTATTTCCCATCTAATTGCAATGGATTAATAACACTCGTACTATTATTTCTGAATGTACATTATCTCATATTGAATTTTATTCCAATATCGAATCGAATCCACACATGTATATAAATGAAGGAAAGAAGTTGTGTGAGTAACTTGATATGATTATGAGCAATAGTTTGTGCTCGAAACGTCATCAGTTAATATAACTGTACAACACTGTGTGATTTATCAAAATAAAATCTTATCCATAATGGAGTTATACTCTACCACAGTGCCCAAGTTTTATACTTATATCTTCTCAGATTTGCTGAAGCTATCGCAATAAAACATCTGAAACCTGACCTATGTGTCCAAAAGGAATTTGTTGCTGGACTCTAATTACCCTGGTGACTCATTCCTCACTAACTTATCTTTTCAACACCCTCCCCCTTGCCTCGTTTTTTCTCTTAACCTCCATAAGAGATAGTTTTTCTTGACCTTATGAGTTCCACTCACTATATTGCATCATCACTTTTTCATCTGACCTCTTGCATACCAAAGTTTGATCATTTCTTATCTAATTATATAGTTGTTACTAATTTTTTGTTACTACCCTAAAAACAAACTTGACAGTTAATTTTCTATAAACTTCCCTCTGACAAGATATATATATGTATAAGTATACTTGCACTTCAGCTACCTTGTTATCCTGATGTTTTACCTCATCGTGACACTTATAATATGCTTGTTGATGACAAAAATTATAAGATGTATGCAGCTTATGAGAATCAACAAAATAAAATAGATCCATGTTATTCTGCATGCGTCGGTGACACAGTGGTTAGGACGCTCGCTACCTCACTAAGCCGGTAGTAGGGTTGGCAAAGAGGGAAGGTTGGGTATAGGGTTAGGAACCCTACTCCGTAAAAGTAAACACCACTGCTACCGAGACCTCTAGTCTCCAGCTTAAGCCCTATGTTCCACTGGGAACGCAAAAAGAATTAAAAATAAAATGGTATTCTGCACCAATATTTGTTCGTTCTTTGTTCAAACTGGTTTCTGTTTCGCAGTCACAAGATGCTTCCGGCTACTGCATAAAAATGTCTTCTATCTTGGAGAAAGTAAAAGGCAGTTCAGCGGAGAAAATTTTTTATTGAAAAAATCATCTTCAGAGGTGTCGTACAATCGTATTTATGTTTACTACAAACGTATGTCTCCTATCTGTCATATTCTGTAGCATCGATATTAATTTGGTTAAATTCAATTCAATCTTAGGTTTTCCCGTCGATTGATCGGACTGAAGTTGACATGTCGGCTCCTTGTGCAGATGCTTCGACGATGTCCGATCATGTAACTTGAAGTTAATTGGTGGCTGATGGCTAGCAGTGGAATCCATGATACACATTTCGTCCTATTTGGAAATGCAGGTACATCCAGATGACGAGTCCCAAATAGAACAAAATGGGCATCCTGGATTCCACTGCTAGTCACCATGCACCAATTGAATGTGTTTAAGTGTTTTAATAGGAATTAAGTTGTTCAGTCGATTAAAACAAAGTCTTCTACACTTTATTAATATGTTTAACATTTGCAGATTTCAATAATTCGAAAGCATTCGTTTAGACGATTCCAAGACAACTGACTTCGTAAAGAAATATGTTCTCTCTTATAATAGTTCCTTATGAATGGCTCTGCAGTATCTAGTTTCTTGAAAAAAACATCAGAACTATATTAGCCAAATTGTGGTATATTAGTTAAAAAGAAGTCATTGTTTTTTCAGTGTGTTTAGAAAGTGTCACATGTAATTACTGAAATCAAGTGAACATTTAAAGGATAAAACCATTCAATATAATTATAAAGTTGATGTGTAGAGAATAACAACCTAATCGGTAGTGTTTAAAATAAGGATAATTCAGGAAAATGGATGTGTGTGTCTTGTCAAGCTGACAATTGTTAATAATTGCATAAGAATGTGAAATGATAAAGAGGTTAATTGAATTGACCAATTCAACAATTCAGAGTGCACTGTGATCGCGAGCCCCTTAGAGTGACGGCCGTATTGCAAACTTGACTGATAGGATTCAGTCTGCACGAAACAAAGGACTAGACACATTACACCAGTTACTAATTAGTATCCTTTCAAAGTATTCAATACAGTCCTACAGGAGGTCATTCGTGAGCCCGACTGGCTCATTGGTAGCGTCTCTGACTGCAGCTCTCAATGGGTGACGCGGGTTCGAATCTCAGAAGGGACATGAGTTCCTCAATGTTACATATCCGCCTTTCTGAAGAAAGCCAACTAACACGAAACCTAGGTGGAAGTCTTCCTGCCGACTACCTCCAGCCATCTAATATCAACACTTTAAGGTTGTTAATATTCTCCAGATAGATTTCGTTTGAAAACTGTAACTGTTTACTTGGAGCTTTCTAAATAAGTTTATAATTTTATTTCTCTTAATTCCCTTTGTATTTCAGAGAAGGTAATTGAAAAAAAGTATTATCCACCCGAGGGGAGTATGTTTCATTGGGTATCATGTCCGCATTATATAATAGAAATATCTCTCTATTTGTCATGGCAAGTTTTTCTTACATCAAAGTGGATACCGTTTTCACATATTTTATTTTTTACAACATTCAGTCAATTATTTTCTATTTGGGCTAATCATAACTGGTATAAAAAGAATTTTCCCGAATGGGCATCAAAACGCGCTATGCTAATCCCATATGTTTTGTGAATATATGAATTATTCTCCATTTTCTTTAACGTATGAAACACTCCACTATTTAAATTTTCCATTGCTTATGTATGATTCTTTACACTGTATAAAGAAAAAAAGAAACTGCTGCATATCATTACTGATTTAGTTAATTTAATCGTTAAATATTTTTTGTATTTGTTTCAACTTCACATACATATGTTACTTTTAGGACATGTATTTTTTGTGTTGATAGATTTCTGTAAAGTGCCTTGAAATAGTTTGTTAATTTAGTTCATTTTCTTACTCTTAAAAGCAGTTACTGGTCATATATGTTTTCGTAAATGTAATAAAAAAAGTATAATTCCACTACACATAAGTATTTCATATTTTGTTATTTTCTCAGGTTGAGTTGTGTTATTTCTTGGTTCTAATGTAATGTTTCTCATATAGTTTCTGGTGAAAAAAATTCCTACTATCCAATTGGAAATTAAAAGTGTGCTTGTATGCTGGTGATAGATTCTTGACAATAGACGTACTTACCGGCGTTCAGCAATTGTTATATTTCTTGACCTGAAAGCGCCATTCTATTCCATTGGTAGTGAAGGCAGTGTCGGGCAGGTGCATCACACTGATCAAGGCACTACTCGAAATCACGCAGCCAGGTGAGAGCCTACAGATAGTTGTTATCTGAAGTGGTGGCAACCACTAGTGTCCGTCCGGCATGCCCAATGCCCCCATTTCTGTTTAATTTCATCACAAATGTACTAATGGACTTAACCCTAACTGATTTCAGTGACTCAGGGATTGACTTGTTACCTGGGAATAATAGTCTCGTTTACTTAGAATGGGAAGATGGTATAGTCCTCCTTCCTAGATGAAGATGCTGGCACAATGCAAAGACTTCTGAACACCTTGAGTAGCAGTTTTCGAATATCTGGCATGTGATTCGCTCCCATAAAATGTAAGATGATGCTACACGAATGGACTACATTGACTCCCAGCTTGAAGATACGGAGTGGAGTGGTAGAGCGCGTTCACCACTTTACTTATTTGGAGAGTTAAAACGGCCCCAGCGGCTTGATCTCGACCCGAATACAGAAGGCTCCTTTGGCATATGTGAACTTATGCCATCTCTGGCGTAGGCGTGATATCCAGTTGTACTGCCCAGCAGTCCTCCTTTGTGGCTGTGAGACATGGCCATTAAAAGGGGACAACATGAAAAGCCTGGCTAGCTGTCTTTGATCGTAGGTGTCTGCGTTCTATCGCCTGTGCTAAGTGATATAATAAGATCTGCAATATTGGTCTCAGTCATCGGTCGAGTGCTAGGTAGGGAGGGGAAATCGGTCGATCAGGTTGTGAAGTCACACTGATTGAGATGACTAGAACATGTGTTATGCATTCCTAGGCATCGCCTTCCTTGGCGGGAAGTATTAACTGATATGGGATGAGTGGAAAAGATCTAGTGGTAATCAAACCAAAACATGGCTTCATCAGTCAATGAAATCCACAACAGCTAGTTTGAGCCACTTAGAGAGGTGTAGACTTCCTGGTTGGGGTCCTAGGGATGGTAAAACCAGTTGGTGGTAATACGCTCCAAAATCGCTGTCACTGGCTAGATAAGATGTTCCTGGAGGACTGATTGGCTCTGAATCCTAGTTCAAAGATATTGAGAGAATGGTTTGGGATGTTTACTTGTTTGCGAATTCGTATCAGCCTTAATGAACGTTTTGGCGACGAAATCTTTGCACGGATTAAGAATAAGGTTGGTGTGGCATTCGCCATCATACGTCACCTCTGTTGTAGATGTGCTACCTGCCTGTCGATCAGTGAACATGTATACTGCACAATAGCTACGTTCTTTTCCTCTTGTTAAGTGATATTGTATGGTTATTAATATTCAGGTAAGGTGAGGAGGGCATATCAATCAGTAGAGTTGTGAAGGTGCATTAAATGAGGTAGCTAGATCACATCCTGTGCATACTGTGCTACCACCTTCCTGGATAAGCAACGTTACCTGACACAGGAATAGTTTGGAAGATGGTTAGGAGTTGGCCTCATAAAAAGCTGGCAACAATTCATGAAGACTCTGACCGTTGGTCTAAGCCACGTAGGGAGGTGTAGGATACCTGTCTGGTTTTTGCGAGACGCTAAGAGTAGACAGTTTGGAACTGTTAGTGACGTGGCTCAGGTGTATTCACTCTTTGTATTCTCCCGGATACATTGAGTCCGCATGTTTATCAATGTATTTATACTGCCTCCTGTTCTTTTGGGTTCCTATTCGTCTCAACCTTTGTGTGCCATAAGGAGAAGTGGCAATTTGAACTGCTGCTCTTCTGTACAAAGTTCTGGGCTGAAAACTCAGCGAATGCCATAAGGATTGATACATCACACGATAGTGTAAAAACATGTCCAAGTGACTGGTAGTAATGCAATCTGAACATGTGAAGTTGAAGGTTTAGAATAAAGTTCCAATGTTATACAAATAAGAAATCTACTGTTTTAATGTTTAAATGGTGTATTTGACTCTGAAGTTGTCAGAGAAGTATTAATCAGCTATTTAAGATCATTAGCACGAAGTGGAACTGGTTGTTGAAGTAGTATGATCATAAACAGCGGTTTTGATTATGAACCTCGCGCTACACTCCTCATGTATTGATTTTTTCCACAGGTCCTAGCAACCTGCACAGGATAGTTTTTAAAAATATTTAGACTTACTCCGTGGCATATCTCCATCATTAATTAGGAGTGTCAATAGAGAATATTTTCACCACAAAGGTGTGCGCGCAAGTGACAAATAAGTTGGAAAATGTGTTTTGTCCTCATAGTAAGCTTCTGGAGGTCTTTTATGACTATCCACTTACCCACCAAATGCGCGGTGAAAACTATGTACGGTTAGTTCTTTCTAACTAAGCTGAAAATCGAAATAAATGTACACAAACTGACTGGAAGGAATAAGGATATACTTGAACTTAACTACAAATTAAATACCTTGAAGTTTCAATTAAACTACTTACAACGAATAGACTATGACTTAATTACGCTTGCTGAATGCATACAGTGAAGATAATCCATTGTAATCTGAGAAACAGGTAAACATGCTACCGCTATGAACTTGTAAACCTACTGTTAAAAGCTCCTTAAACCGCTCTAAATTGTATAAACCGCGTAGAAGTGCAATGAAGACACGCAAAACGGTCTTTATTATCATCCTTTCCTTGCATTAGTAGTGGTATTATGGCCTCTAAAGCATGCTTTCATTGCACTCACTTCTCTGCAATCACATTCAGTTGTCTCTAAGACTGCCCACAAGCCTTCACTTCCCCTTCATATTGCGGTGGTCTAATATAGACAATGTGTAACGACAGAAGGCAAGAGTCAGGCAACAGATCATTTATTAAGGAAATCAACGCATATTTATATATTTCATGTACATTACTATGGATATTTAAGCAAACAAACACAGTCTTCCGATTGGTTGTTTCTCACGTAAAGTTAATCTTTCATCTATTTGTGACTGTTTCTTGAATGCATCCGCCTACGCAAAGTCTGCTGTGGTCGGTTTTGAATCAATCTTTGTTCACATTTTCTCACGACAAATCTTGGGAACGTAAATATTGACGTAAATTACTGTCTACCAATTTGGCTAGTAGACAGTTCTCACCACAAATGTATCCGACGGAATATTAATTCACATATTCCCACAGTTCAATACTGCATTAGCAACAGAATACTTTATGTATTTGAATATTGTATTTCATGACGTTTAATGTAAACCAAAATCACATGCTCAGTGAATGGTTAAAGAATATAAAACTATATATATAGCGGTTTGATAACTTGAAAATATATTTTGGCTTGAGTATCTCGCCTTTTGTTGTTACAGTATGATATCCACGTCGAACTCTTCTTTTCCTGTTGAAGGACGTAGTTTTCACCTATAGGTCTTTGTGCAGCATGAGAGATAAATATTGGTAATGTTAGAAAACTTTTTCTTACTTCAGTCTGTACTTCGTACGCTACTGTGAGTTTTCCGACTCAAATCACTTGACAAGTGGCCTTATTGTATAGCTGTTGAACAAAGTTTACAAATGTTTGCGACACTCCATAGTGCTGAAGCGCCTACCGAAATGCTTCAAAGTGGATGCTAATAATTGCTTTTTGAAAACTGGATGAAGTTGAAGTACAGAGTTGACTACAATCCTTGGGTCTGCTCGATGACCATGAGCAGTGTTTGAAATTTTCTGCATGTGACCTACTTAACTGAATCCAGCATGTTCCAGAGTCACAAGAAATAAGTAGGTTTTCATGAAAGATAGGCATAGTAACTGATTCTTTATGCATTGAAGACACATTCAAAATTTACCAGTATTTTCCATACACTACAGACTTCCCAACATCTCTAGGAAGAACCGGTAATAGGTTGTCAGAAATGGATGCCCTATGTTCTAGTACATGGAGGTTTATTCAGATGTACTGGACAGTGAGTGGATTGGAATTAAATGACTGTAATGCCCATTTCAAGTCACCGAAATAAACCTAGGCCAGAAATAAATGAATCAAACTGTGTTATGCTTATTGTAAGGTATGGTAGGTCAGGCAGTTTTCTTCTGTTTTACTGTATGCTTGTCTGCTTTCAAATCAGCTGCGTGACATGCATGGATGGATCTCCCAGATTCTTTCTCTCACGAAATCGTAATATGATTGTCTGTAAGTATTATCCCTGACATTGAGCTGTCGTTCCTACTAGCACGCAACACCTGTGTGATCATCCTGCTAGCGCGTGCTTTGCTCGCTGTTTCAGATCATTGCTTGACGACTGGCGCTACATCAAATATTAACTATAACCAAACAAATAAAACTAATTCACATACTAAAATTATACTTTTCCAAAACTAATTTCACGCACTCTTACCGATTATTTGCCACAGTATAATTGAACATTGGTATTCGATCTTTTATCTGTACTTTGCCTGGTCACAGAGTGTTGTCTTTGCCTGGATTTCTTCAAAGTTCAATTCCGCTAACAATAGACTTTC